ACCACCACCACCACCACCATCGCCATCACAGCTTCTACTGCTACCACTACTGCTGCTACAACTACTACTATGACTGCTGTTACTGTAACTACCGCTACGACAACTGCCATTGCTACTGCTATTTGCTGCTAATTCTACTTTTATTGCTACTGCACCTGCCGCATATCAAGTACTTCTGATCTAGCACCAGCACCACGACGAAACCGCAGGACCTGGCTGACATGCTTGCGGAGACCAAGCAGCTTCAAAAGCTGGCAGGCTGCGAGGAGGCCGTGTCGAAACGAAGATTTAGTTTTTGAGGGATCAGCGTGAATTTATTTTGAGGCCTGGGTTTGGGGATTGCTGGGGTTGGAGGCTTGGGATTTAGGTTCAAAGTGTTGGCACTGCAGAGTTTCCTGCTGCGTGCTCTACGGATTACCTATCCCCATCGAGACCCACGAGAGCGCAGAGGAGGTCGAGCACTGTAGTTGTCCAAACCAGAATCCTGAAACACACCCCGGAACCCGAAGGGCTCTGAATTTCCCTTCAGCCCTGGGATCCCAAAGTCAGGTTCCAGACTCCGATTTCCCCAGAACAGTAAGAAAATGATTTCCCAAACATCTTTGCTCATCATGTCGGCCGCAGAGACCTCGGTTCTGACTCCAACAAGCTTTGTGTCCTTTTCCCACACCTGCATCCTACCTCCCCGGAGGGACGGTGGATGTTTTTCTTTGTCTTTTGGGCGCGAGCCTCCTCATTGTGAGCCCTAAGCCCTGGTTCCTTTGAACAGAACATCCGAAAACAACGAGTTTAAAGTCTGGAGGCAAGTGGCAGTGTCGGCTTTGATCTCGAGGACTCCTCCCTAAACCCCAAAGCAAATAAGGGTGGTTCAGGAAGGGCCGGATTCGTAGAATTTTTGATCGGTAGTCTACACCTTACCTTGGAATTCGCGCAAAGATCGCAGTGGTCTAGTAGTGGCTTCAGCTAGTTGACGGACAAGTGGTCACGATTGTGGATTCAGACCCAGCCTCGTGTAGGTCTCCTGTGGCCTGCATCTGCAAGCCTTGGGGGCAGGGCCTTGCGCAGACCGCTTCCTGAAGAGTGTCATTTGAATTGCCAGTACCGGCATGTTGGTTGCAATGGGTGCGCTCGTGGACACCCGCTTTGTAAAGTGAGGAGCTCAGGCCCACACCCTATACTGTAAGATCGCTGAAGTACCGCAGCCCTGTGACTATCGATATCTACATACCGCTCTAGCACCACAGTCTGGACATGAACCCTATAATAGGCCCTACAACGCCCTGTAAGACGCCTTCATGCTACATAATTTCAGGGAGGGGCTTTTCCCGCGGAGCTCATACATGTCCGACACTTCACTTCCACAGCATCCTTTCCGAAAGGGGACCAGCGAGAGCCTGGATCAGGCTGCCGCCCTGTAGGTCTAGATGCTCCACCTTACCTTCTCAGATCTTGTGCACCTGCAGCAGGAGCCCGAACCAGGCGTTCTACGAAGGCCGATCTACTTGCTGTTGCAAGCATTTGCATAAGTCTCGTCGTCTTGCAACATGAATGGCTGCAGTAAACAGCACCCCTCAGCGAATATGGCCCGTCGAAGGTCTTAAGTATGATAAGCCTCAGAGGTTGAAGGTTTAGCACAGAAGCCTGTGTGACTAGCAGGACCATGACCACGCTCTCCTTGTTAATTTGAGGAGAGTGGCATTCTCGCCTTGTAATACAAAGTATGCAAGAGTGAGTCGTTCCCCACCTTTCGAACGCCCGATCCGCCAGGGGCAGTCGATGCAAGACGGCAGCGGGCCTAGAGTCCTAGAGTCCAGAAGGCCCCCCAAGCCGCAGATGTGCCAGGCTCAATGTCCGGAACGACTTGGGAAGGACTTGCCATGCACCCACAACTCCCAATAGAAAATGCACAAGCCCTCCATGCAACGCTGCCGGCAAATGGAGACCTCAGCGAGAGTTCAGGGCAGAGGGCTCTCTTAGGACACCCAAGACACTAAATTCTCAACAGCCCTGTAAGCCCCCAAGATTCTCGACCCGAAAACCCGAAACTTTTTCAATCCCCAACCTCCGACCCTAAGCCTAGTGCCACCGTGAGCTAAGTCGGCCCTCCGAAAACGCAAGAGCTTCCAAGGTCCCAGCTCAGACGCTGCCTTTGGTTCCAGAAGGCCCGCATTGAGACAGAAAGGTTTCGGGTTTAGGGTTTAGGGTTTAGGGTTTAGGGAGAAAGGGATCAGGACTCCGGGGCTTCTCCTGGTTTTGAGTCTGGTTTTCCAGCGTCCATGCTGGCATATCAGGGTTCCGGCTTCGGGACTTAGGTAGGGATTTGGGATGATAGGTTAATTCCCCTCGTGTCTTCGGGACTGTGGCCATGCAGGGATGAAGGACGAACGGCTGCAAGCAGTCGGGGAATCCTTGTGACAGTCGTCGGCTTTGGACCTCGACTTGTCATACGTCTCAGAACTGAAACCCGCGTAGCTGCTGAGTCCTTCGCATGGACATGCGGGAGGGGTATCCCAACCCACCCATGCCCCCCCAATAGCATCGGGTTCGAACAAATCCAAACCCAATACCATCAAGAAGAAGTAGTGATGCACACACACACACACCTACTAACCAGAACTCATGTAAGCCGAACTCCCACAAGCCAGGCCAGCCCTTGATTTCCAAGTCGCGGACGGAGCGGCTAATGGCACCTCCTGGGCTTTCTTTGCCCCTGCCAGCCGGGGCCCTTCGGATCTGGGCTCTAGGCTTTAGGGGTTTAGGGTTTAGGGTTTAGGGTTTTTAGAGTTTCCAGGGATTGGGAGAAGGCTTCGGGTGCAGAGTGCGTTGAGCCATACACCTCCATAGGCCGGACATTTCTCAAAAGTTGGGACCATGGAGCATTGAACCCTACGGCCATGAATCTGAAACCCTAACACCGCCCACCGAACCTTAAACCAGAAATCATGGTAGTATGTGCGAACTACGGCTCAGATAAATTATATAAATTGCTCAGATAAATTATATAAATTCAGGAGTTTGCTGGTTGAGGGTGAGCTCCGCAGAAGCTCTGAGTCCTTTCCAGGTCCTCCAAATCTCCCCGTTCGTCCAGAGAAGGTTGCGAGCGCTTCATCCAAGACCTCAAAGACTAAACGGCCTTCCATGACGCAGGATTCTAGAAAAAACTTCTTCTGTCAGATGTTGCCAGCATGCGGAGCCTGATCAGTACGACTGCCTTTTAAACCAGGAAAGCCTCTCCGTCAAGGCGAAGGCGCTTCTGTGAAACCCGATAAAGGATGCGAAATACAGATGTAACATCCTGGTTCAGAGTCTAGGGCTAGGAGCCAAAAGAGTCCACACCGCATCAAAAACTCTTGCTTCCTGCATAGAGCCATGCTGACACTTAGTTTGCGCCTTGTAAACTGGTAGGAGGAGGTTGAGACGACTGGCAGGTTAGAGGCGTAGAGTTGGCTTTTGCCGCCTCTCTAGAATGAGTCTTGTGTTTCACTTAGCTCATCTTGGCGCTTCAGCCCTGTCGGATTTCAGGGAAATCGACCCAAAGCTCTCTGACTCTGATCCTGCAAACTTTCTTAGGCTTGAGGCTTGCAGCGGGAAGCCTGAAGCCTCTCTGTAAGCTGTATCTATAGATGGTCTTCCGCTGCACCATCATCGGCTTTACTTCCTGCATACTCCAGTGCACACTGCTGAGAA